TTGTAGCAGCTGATTGATTTGTCTTTTGGTTATTTGGTGAGTAGAGTTTTGTGGCATAATAAGAAAATATAAGCTGATGAAATAAATGGTTAAAAACGTGATGTTGATAAACAAGTATATTTATATTGGCGGACCTTACAGGAAACAGGTTTCTATTCAGCCACTCTTCTGACGTGAACTCATTTTAAAGAGAATTCATGGCTCTTCCAACTCTCAACACTTTCAGTCGGTTGCGGGGATTGAAAATCTCCAAACTTAAAAGTCACCCAACAACTAAGATCATACACTATTTCCTGAAACTATTGGCATGATTTAGCACACTTTTAATTTCAAGTTCAGCACAATAAAAAGAATATTTTGGCACAGGTTATTTGGCACAAAGTGTGCCAAACTTGAGACAAGTTAATTTGTGGACTGTTGTTTCAACTAAAAGTACCAGGCAGAGAGGGGATATAACTGTAACTAGAGAACAGGTGGCCCATACAGATACTTTTTCTTTCCTTTTCAGTAAAATGAATACAATTACTTCCTCTTCCTTTAAAAATCGTATAATCATACAAAAGCGGTTACTTTTTAAAGTGAACAATGGAGAGTTCTCTCTATCTGGTACTCTGCGAAGATGTTAGATGGGGATGGTCTCTAAGAAAAAAGAGAGAGAGAGAGAGAGAGATATACAGAAGAAAATCATTTTGTTTTTATACAACAACTATGATGATATTAGACTTCTTTGTGTCGAAGTAAAAAACCAAGGCGTCAAAGTAACCCAAACTTTGAGTGACAGATCAAAAGTCGCCATTGAGATGAAGTCACTCATTGAACAGCAAGTTCTATTGGGGTGGCAGCACCCAAATCGTTTGGACTTTTGGTTGACGGTTAGTATTTATCATTGTAATTGTTATTAGCTGCATTGTTATCGGAGAACTCAATGATTCTTCTAATTTTTAGGCCTTAATTGCAGCGTCTTCTGTATGGAGCTCAATCAACATAGCCTATACCTCTTCCTTGAACTTGAGCAATTCTAATTACTCAAGGACAAATCCGATTTGCCTCTGTTACCAGATGCCACACTTCGTTTTTATCGTTTGAGAGTAAGAATAGAAAATAGCTTGACTAGTTATAACCATTAAAACCGCTATGAATAGAGCAAGATAGCAGAATTGATCGCTTCAATTGACAAGAAGCAAAAGGTATCTTCTTTTACTTCTCTCTCTCTCTCTCTCTCTCTCTCTCTCTCTCTCTCTCTCTCTCTCTCTCTCTCTCTCTCTCTCTCTCTCTCTCTCTCTCTCTCTCTCTCTCTCTCTCTCTCTCTCTCTCTCTCTCTCTCTCTCTCTCTCTCTCTCTCTCTCTCTCTCTCTCTCTCTCTCTCTCTCTCTCTCTCTCTCTCTCTCTCTCTCTCTCTCTCCTCTCTCTCTCTCTCTCTCTCTCTCTCTCTCTCTCTCTCTCTCTCTCTCTCTCTCTCTCTCTCTCTCTCTCTTCATCTGCGAACCTTTTGAAGCGTTCCGTTGCTTTCCCAGTGAAGAAAAGAAACAATAAAAAATAAGTGATATATTTTTATTACAAAAGACGAAGAATCATTTATAAGAATGCAAGTAAATAGGCTGCTTTCTTTGGGGAAATGACAAAGAATTAATCCAGACAATTTGTTGTGAGCTAATACCTAAGGCATTCAAAGAAAATCTACAAGTCATTGTCAAGGCAAAAAACCCCATTCGTTTTTAATTTTTGATAAAATCTTGCTTCTAGAATAACCAATAACGACTCACTGTTGATTTGCATACTTGGTGTTATTATCAAGTATTTATATGAATAATTTTCTGACTAGCATAGCATTTTGGTATTCTAATAGAGATGTAAAATCCAGTGGGATGCATTGATCATAAAAAACAGTAAAAAAAGATTTACATAGTTTTTTTCCCATAGAAGCTAGACCAGCATAACAGCTAAACAAGCTCACTGAAAAGATCTTAGGAGGTTCTACAGGATCTCTGTAGCAGCTACACCAACATAACAATAGAGCAAGTTTGCCGAAAAGATCCTGGGAGGTTTTAGTGAGAAAAACTAGATCAAGAAATAACGTGATAGTTTAAAATAAACCCCCCCCTCCGTTTTGTCGTGTGCTGACATAAAGGGCATTTAAAGTCTCAAGGCTTTCGGAAAGAATTTAGTCAGAGGATCGCTATTTTGATTCTTGTATTAAAAGTAAAGATTGATTCCGTAAAGTAGAAGACTGTAGCATGGAATTGGGTAGTCTTTTAACTGTCGTTATTGTGTAATAACCACAAGAGAAGCAGAGTAAACAAGTCGATTAAACAAACTTTCTTTGCCAACACACATATCAAGACAAAGATGAAGTTAGTTTATCATGATAGAATACATCACCCATTTGTACGACTCTACTATTAAGAGAGAGAGAGAGAGAGAGAGAGAGAGAGAGAGAGAGAGAGAGAGAGAGAGAGAGAGAGAGAGAGAGAGAGAGAGAGATGAAATACAAGCTCAATTGAGTACATTTACATCAGAGATATATCAAATAACTTGTATGCTTCTATCAGACAAACTGGTCTTCAGTGCAAAGAAGCTGATATTATTGTCACCATAAAAGATGGCTTTAGACTCTCTTGCTATGAGTTCAAGGTTTCCTTTTCAGTTTGTAAAAAACAACATTGTAACATTATTCAATAAAAGACAAAAAGCTTAAACCCAGTTATCTCTCTTCAAATGATGTGTCATAATGAAGCCTTAAACTTCAGAATGATAAACAAGAGCTTCTACAGACAAATATCTCCACTTTCCAAAATCAATGAGAAAGGAAGTTGAAAGTGACTGGCTTGAAAAAAGCATAGTTTTTTTTTCTTTCTTTCTTTCCCTCGCGATATATCTTCTCGCGTCTCTTTGCTTTTATTTTTATTTTTCTGTAAAAGCATAAAAGAACAATATTATACGCGACACAATGAGGTAACTATTACAAGGGTTGCGACACAAAAATACTTATGCTTTTCTCTAGTAAAAAATTAGCGAGATCTAAAAAGGGAGACGGCAACGTGCCTAACTTTGTATTAAGACTAGATGGCAGTGCAGGAACTCCAGCTAGCTTTGCAAGTTTTACTGGTAGCGCGCCAGCAAGTCCAACAATCGGTTCACCTACAAACAGCTTCACTTTTGGTGGTTCTGTTAGTGGAAGTGTCCCCGGAAGCCCCGCATCAACATCATCATTTAACTTTGGAGCAACTTCAGTTTCCTTTGGCGACCCATCTGGCGCATCTATTTCATCCCCAGCTCACAGCAAATCCTTCAATAACTCTCATGGATCACCTATAGCAAGTCCTCTTCGACGCGCCCAGTCTGAATCCGAGTTCTCAATCACGCCTAGTGAAGGTACGAATACAGGCTTCAACTTTGGTAACCTCAAACAACCCAGCACATTAACCACCCAAACATCTGCCGGTTCTTTAAGCAGTACCTCTTCTTTCAGTGTTGCTGGTGTCACAACACCTGCTCAACCTACTAATATCGGAGGCTTTCAGTTCACAACACCTGCTTCAACAACAAGTACTACTAGCACTACTACTACTGCTGCTGCTGCTGCTGCTGCTCCATCAGCATTCACATTCAACACACCTGCCACTACAACACCCTCTTCCTTCTCTTTTGGTCAACCATCTGGTTCTGGTGCTCCATTTAACAACACGACAACAACTACTAGTACTACTGCCACACCTGCTCCTTCTTTCACATTTGGCACTAAGACACCTGCAACCACCAGTACTACACATAAAACACCCAGTCCTGCTTTTACATTTGGCAGTGCAACCACACCTTCAACCACGACGCCTACCAGCACAACACCTACCAGCACAACACCTACCAGCATAACACCTAGTTTTGGTTTTAGTAAGCCATCTAATCCAACTACGACGAGCACAGAAATAAAGCCTACTGATTCCAAACCAACTCCATCTTTCACATTTGGAGCACCTGCTAGCTCTACGCCAACCAGTACTGCTACACCCACATTAGGATCTGGATTCTCTATTGGAACCACCAAACCTGCTGAAGCACCCAAAACACCTGCATTTACTTTTGGAACGGATAAAGATAAGTCTACTAGTACTACACCTACCTTGACTTTAGGATCAACTCAACCTGTTGCTTCAACATCTTCTACTTCAGCACCTTCCACACCTTCATTTAGCTTTGGATCAACTACTACTACTACTACTACTACTACGACAACAACAACAACAGCAGCAACAACGACTGCTACTGCTGCTACAACATCTACAGTCAGAATACCCAAATTCGTATTTGGTACCTCTACAGGTGATAAAGCAAAAGACGATAAAACGACAGCAGGATCTACAATAACAAGTAGTCCCTTTACGTTTGTTACATATTCCTCAACATCTGCGCCTGCTAGTACTTCTTCTGCTGCTACTCCTGCTCCACCTAAAGTCAATGTGTTTTCTTTTGAAAAGATCCTTCAAGATCTAGCCAAGACTGCAGCTCAACCACCTAACCAAGTCTATGCGCTCGTTACACCTGCTCTTTCAGGACTACAACAAAACCAAGTTGTTCATCATACCAATTTCAGAATTGACAATATTTCCTTATCCACACGCTTCCATGAACTTCCTGAACAAGCACAAAAAGAATTAGATGCTATGCAAGAATATATTCGACGTGAAAGCCAACGCTGTGAATATATTGCTAATCAAAAGTTTCCTCAACATTTGAATGCCATGTCAAAAACAAAGAAAGATACAGAATTATTATCACAGGTAAAAAAAAAAAAAACAGTAGCCTAAAAGAAAACTGATGATGTGTAGCAAATTGATGCTCTCTTAAATACGCTAAAGAGTGAAATGGAAGCTGTTGAGACATTTTATGATAATGTCAAAGATCAATTGAGACATGCAAATGATGGTTGTGCTGTATTAGAAGCTTGTAAACATCCAGGACATACTGCAAGATGGTTGTTTGGCTATTCAGAAGATGACGAGTAAGTCAGAGAGAGATGATACAACTTGAAAGTTACTTACGATGCTCTATATAGCTATTTTTCACAGCTTACAAAGAAATTGAGTGGTAAATTAGAAGAGTATAAGAGATGCATTTGGGAAATTGAAAGAACAGCTGAATCATGGTCACAAAACAAAGTTCAATCACCTCAAGGTAAACATTTGCTTATTAGATCCTTTAACTCATTTTGATAGATATTGCCCATATTATGCGTGCTCAAAATCAAGCATTTTTAGCGCTATCAAGCAAGGTGGCTGCATTACATGAAAGTGTCAATAGGGAAAAGAACTATTTCCAACAATATTTAAGAATGTGTCATTAATAATAAAGAAAAAAAAAGTTATTTTTGAAATACCGAATTGATGACATGGCTTCAGCTTGTAAGTGAGCAAGTTGAGCGGGGACTGGAATTGGGGGCATGGCTTGTTGGAAAAAAAACAATTGCCACTTCTTTTCTTGTACTGAATTTTTTGATACAACACCCTACTCGTAAGTAGATGTCTTTATTACAATCACTCACAAGTTTCTTGTTGATCGACTTATAACATCAGTTTAATTGACAATGCCTGTTAAAGAATTCAACACACCTTATCCTGTTATCGACACTGATCCTCACTTTGCCCGTGTTGTTCGCTATTTCAGACCTACAGATTACGCTGCTTGGGCTGCAGGTACTGCTGCTGCTCCTGCTTTGTTGTTAGGAATGGGTAAGCCTGAAGAAATGAAAGTGATAGAGTCAATATCAATCTATTATTTCTATAGAAAGAATGGACCCTGTTGGTTCTGCTCGTAACTTGCGTATTCCTCTTCGTCTTGCCACTCTTGTTGGTGCTGTTGGTGGTTTCTTGTACGCTTACCAAAACAGCAGTCGTAAGTGAAGTTACTTATTTGATTATTGCTTTGCTTATGCTCTAGTATTATATTAGTTCGTTTCTGGGGTTGGAGTGAAAATGCTGCTGAAGTCACCAAAGATCAAGCTGAAATGAGCCAATTGGCTAAGGAAGGAAAGGCTTTGTACGGTGAAAGTTACATGCCTGAATATGTTCAAGATGCTTCTTCCAGAAACTCTAGATTTGCACAATTGAAGTTTGGTAAATGGTGTTGATTGCATAAACAGTCTTGTCTAACATTCTTTAGCTGCTTATCCATACTTTAACTTTGCCAATCACAACAACCATGGTGTCGATACCTCCAAGTACTCATCTTGATCAACAACAATACATTATCAAGAAAGAGAAACAAGTGTTGTTTGAAATAAATGTGTAATTTTTAAATGACAAAAAAAAAATATAGTTTAATTACATAAATGAGAGAGAAGGGCTCATTTCTAACTAATGGTATGATGTTGACGATTCATTGAATTTTTACTTTTACGTTTACGATAGTGGTGTCGATGAGAACGATCTTTTTCGAGTTTGGATACATGGTGCTTTCCATTACAACACATACGAACATCTTCCAAAGCTTCATCTTCTCCATCATCTTCATCATCAGAAGCAGTTGTCATGGATTGTACTGAAGTCAAAATAGAAGGTTGATGTTGGAATGCATCTTGAATACGGAAACTGGCTCTTTTCATGAGTGAGCCATTGTTTCCGGTTGTGCTGGCTTGGTTATTGAGGAAAGTTAAGCCAGAACCTGTGGCACTGGTACGAGAAAGTAAATAAGAAATAGCCTGAATTATATGTGTTAATAAACAAAAGTGTATGTGATTCAATAGACACTTACTTCAAACCAACGGTCATGAATAGTCATGTTGGGTGCAGTTAACTTGATTTGACGATGACTTGTTTGAATCAAAAGACTCACATGAGGTGTGTTTTCACCAGTTGCATTGTGTTCAGGCACAACAGTGACATCTTCAATCACAGCACACTTGGCTTTTCCTTCATGACCATCTGTGATAGGAGCAGTAGGAGACCAGAACAATCGACGAGAATAAGGATGGATCCAAAAGTAACGTTGATGTTTCTTTTCAGAGATACCACCGCCCACCACTTTGCGAGTGTATTTATAGAGCCAGTCACCTACCATTGTCTGTGTAATCAACTGAATGATAGATGCATCTGTGCCAATCCGAGGATCGTAGGTAGAGGAGGCAATAGACTGAAGTTGTTCATTTGTGTTGTTGGTAGACATGCTGGAAACACTGATGGATTCATGTTTCTCGGCTCTTGACATGTCAGAAGGTGCTTTGCTGTTCTCAGTGAAGGAAGGAGAAAGACCAGCACGGATCAACAAGTCAGAAGAAGGTGGGTTGGATGGTCTGGAAGGTAATGCTTTGTCTGGTGTGATAATGGAAGGAATATCAGCATGATCATGGTTGAGAGTAGATACTAGTTCAGTGGAAGGACGCTTTTCAAGTGCCTTTTCAGAGACCATAGCATCTTCATGATCCATATTGGAAGAATTAGAGACGACTGCAGAGTCAATGTCATTGAGTATAGATTTGTCATCCTTCTTTTCGATAGCAGCAGCAGCAGCAGTAGCAGCAGCAAGAGCAGAAGCGACGGCAGAAGCAATCATGGCATCTGTCTCAGACTTGCTATACAGCTTTTCATCTTGAGGAGCAACAACAGCATTGTCATGTTTGTTAGCAACAGGGGTGTTTTTCTTGACTACTTCTGGAGCACTGTTTTGAAGTGCTTGAAAAGGACTTGTCTCATGCTTGAGAGTTTCAACGGAAGCATTGTCCTCAAGTTCTTGAGACATGGGAGATTCCTTTTTGGGTACTTCTAAAGTGTTACTTTGAGAAATATCAGTGTCTTTCTTGGGCACCTCCAAAGCATTAATGTGAGAAACATCAGTGTCTTTCTTGGGTGCTTCTAAAGTGTTGGTTCGGGAAGCATCTTTCTTAAGCGTTTCTTGAGCATTGTTTTCTTCAAGTTCTCCATCTGTTTCTAAAACGCTATCTTGAGATTCTTGTGTATCCTTCTTTTTATTGTTCATTAACTTGGAGGCAAGTAAAGCAGGTCCAAGAAGAGGAGCAGCAAGAACGGCCTTGAGAGCATTGCTTTGCTTTGCAGATTCAGGTTTATCAAACATAGCAGCATTGTTAAATGTGTTTCTACTCGAAGGCTTGGAAGTAGCATCAAAAAATTCATCTTGGTCTTCTTCAACAGGAACAATACCAACCATGGTTTCTTCAGGTGCTTCATACTGTACTTGAGCATCTTTTGTTTCCACAACAAAACGAGCTTGAACGCCTGTTTCAGTAGATAAGATGGGCTCATATTGTACATTTGCATCGACAGTGATCTGTGAGTCGCTTTGGACACTGGAGTCTGCTGTTTGAGGAACCATGGACTGTGTGCCATGGTCAATACCAGCAGGCAACTCTTGCTCGTATTGTGCTGATCCATCCAATGCTTGAACTTGCTCACTTTGTGTGCCTATGGTGACTGGCTCTTGAGCATCCAGGTCTGCAAGGACAACTGTATATAGGTTAGCTCACGACACGATATCTGTTCAGTTAGAATACCTGGTACTGAAGTTTCTTCTTGTTCATGTTGAACACTGGCGTCCTTTGTGTTACTTGAGAAGGGTTCGGATTGTACAAAAGCGTCTGTGTGTTGAGCGACTTCACTTTGTACTCCACAATCAATGCTTTCCAACAAATCGGATTGAGTGCCTTGATCTAAATGAGGAACAGGCTCGGATTGTGTTTCATGATCTTGAGTCAAGATAGATTCACTTTGAGTAGATACATCAATAGCAGCTTCTAAAGAAGCTTGACGAGCAGCAGCAATGGCAGCAGCCGTAGCAGCAGCCAAGGCAGAAGCAGCCAAGGCAGGGTCTTCAGGAGCTACATCTGTACCTGCTTGAGATGCATTACCCAAGGTAACACGCGTAGGTTCATTTACCCATGTATACACAGCCTTCTGTTCTAATGACACACGAGCATCTGTTTGCGTGGAGGAACTTTCAGAAGGCGTGAGAGTAACTTCTGTCTGAACAGAGATTTCAACACCTTTAGAAGAAACGTCGGTTTGAATCGACATATCTTGACTGGTTATAGTAAGTTCAGTGTCGGTTTGAGTAGTGATTTCTACACCTTGTTTCTTTTCTTCTTGCTCTTCAGTTGAAGGAGAACGAGACATGGCAATGCTTAATTCGTCACCTAAAGAACGAGGAGCAGATTCACTGACAGGCATGGATTCGAGCGTAAGGCTCTCTATAGGATCTGTGTTGACTTGGGCATGAACACCCACAGGCTTTTGACTCTGAGACAATTCAGAAGATAAAGACGTAAAGCCAGCCATTTTAGGATCTAAGCCAGTAGCATCAACATCGCTTTCATCATAGCTGTCCATCTCACTTTCTTCATTGTCAGATAAATCTGAATATTCATGATCACCAACAACCATAGCCTTATTGATCTTGTTTTTGCGCTTGTTGCTAGGTTCAAAAGTTCCCTTTTTACCTCCACGGCGCTTGATAGCTGTCTTGACAGGACGACGACTGCCATCTTCATTTCGGCTCGAAGGACCTGAAGAAGACGTGCTTCGTGTAGGGCCTGCATCAACCCAGAGACGGGGATCGTTCTGGAAATGTTCAATGGTTTCTTGAGATTCAGCCAAGAGTTTTTTGAGTTCGAACTTCTCTGTCTTTTCTTTATGCAGACCTGAACGCAAGTTGGATACCATGCGATGCGCATGAGCAAGGGATGTCTTGAGTGTCTCTACTTCCATCGCTTGATTGCGAGCAGGTACTTGTCTAGGCGATGAAGGAGGCGAAGAGGAAGGTGTTGTATCGCTTTTGACAGCGGATGTGCTATGTCCTTGGTCACTATGAGAAGGATCTCCGTTACTGATAACACGATGATGATTTGATTCGCTTTCAGAAGCAACATGTTTGCCAATACGAGACTGAGCTTTAGCAATAGCGAGCTCAGATGTTAAGGCCTCAATTTGTTTGACTTGGTCTGCTTTTTCTCGTTGAATGGCAGCTGCATGACGACGAATAGAAGACATATCTTGTTCATGACGTTGTTTCATTGCCTCAATAGATTTGTTGAGCTTTTCTTCTCGATCACGAAGCTGTTCAATTTCGGACCGTAAATCATTGACTTGTTTCGCCAATTTGTTTTGTTCTGCATTGGCTTTACTCAGATTGGTTTGAAGGTCTGTCACACTAATCACGAGTTCTTGTTTGGCGAGTTCGAGATTCCAAGTTTCTTCTTTGAGTTTCTCTACAACCACATCAGTTTTTCTGTAGCACATCAAGTTGGCTTACCTTCATTTTCTTCTCTTTGGCGCATTTGTTTGGCCATAGCTTCAGCAGCTCGTTCAAGGTCTGCTTTTTGGTTTTCAAGCGTTCGAAGTTTTTCTTCTTTTTCTTGCAATAAAGCTTGCATCTTTCTCACTTCTAACAGTAGCCCCTGACCTATTTCAGTAGCGAATTCGATATCGGTGTTTCTACGGTCTGTGTTCGGTATTTTGGACCGACGTTTGGTAGGTGTGGAGCCTGTGGGTGGAGGAGGAAGTGGTAATAACGAAGCTGAATCATGACCATGCGCGGGTGGTAAAAGTGTAGATGTACTCGGACTAGGTAATGGATCCATACCCGCATGTGTAGGTGAGCGTTGATTTAGTAACTAGGAGAAACAAAAGGAGGGTGATTAATGGTGAGCTTATATATATATATATATGATTTAGTACAAATAACACGAACCTTTTCTTTACTACGAATCGATGAAATACCAGGTGACAAAGGACGAGGACGGTACGCTGATAAGTCTCTTTCAAACGATTTCAATCGGTCGATTGCGGATCCAGTATGCGCCTGAGAAAATTCATCTGGACTTTGGGTATCCATATCTCGAAGTTTGTCTTGAAGTTGGCTTACTTGGCGAGCAAGTACATTTTTTCCAATGCCGCTACTAGATTCTTGAAGCTGTCTTTGTTTTTCTGCCAACTGGTGTTCAAGTTCCTTGCGTTGTTGTTGCTGGGTTCTATTGTTTTGGCGAGCAGAGACAGTGGTGGACGAGGAGGGTGTTGGTAAGACAGGCTGAGGGGTATTTGCTGAGGTTGGTGAGGATAAGGAATGTTTTGGAGGTGGTGTACTCATGGGGTTGCTTAATATGACTTATGGAAAGGAATGTATTGTAATTGAGAGGGAATATTTATAATAAAAAAAAAGAGAAAACGTATATTTATGTATAAGTTTCAAATCTAAATGAGTAATGATTTTACTGTGCTAATCCTTAAGTCAAGGGTATTGACTTCATATAGGTAGATTAATAATAATAATAAAAAAGATAAAGGCTAGATTAGCACAGTAAAATAGAAAAGATGTAAAAAAGAAAAGAAAAAAGAGAGAGAGAAAGAAGTATTATAAAATATAAAATAAAGGGGAGAATGAATTAGGAACGAGGATATTCATAAAAACAAGGTGTTGTGGTTTTTTTCTATACTCTTTTTAGGTTCTACGTCGTGACTAGTTTGATCATTGAATGTATGACAGAAAGTATTTTGCCAATTTATCCCTCATTTCACTCTTCTTTATTGGTAAACAATAGCAACTGTTGTAGTGCTTCATTTATCTAAACAAGGCTATTATGCAAGACAGGTTTTTTTTTTTTTTTTTTTTTTTGATGAAACTGTCTTTAAATCCTCCCTTCGTTTGTAGGAGCTATCTTCTCCTTTTTAAATACAAGCAGATCTTATTATTACATAATCTAATAGGTTTATTGAACTAGTTCAGGAATATCATAATATAAATCAAGACTTTCAGGATTGCTTAAAGTACCAGTAGCAGTAACTTTTTGTCCAGACAAAATTTTCTAGGTCGAGGTTAACTTTGTTTCTTTTGTGTTACAACTTACCTTAACAGCCACTTCGACTTTTTTACCATTGATAGTGTGCTAGAGGTAATAGATGAATAACATAAAAAGAGACATTATATGACTTACAGGAATATCAGCAATGGGCAAAATAAAAGCAGGCACATGTCTAGGACTCAATTCATTACGAATGGTTGTCTTGAGTTTCTTTACAAATTCATCTGAAATAGTCTTGCTGCCATCCTTCATCTTCAAGAACAAAATCACTCGCTCATCATCTTCACCCTTGATCTTTTGTCCTACACACAAAGTGTCTTCAACGCCTCCATCCACATTGAATTTATCCACCACATTGTAGATTTCAGCACTACCAAATCGAACACCATTAGGGTTAAGCGTACCATCAGATCTGCCAAGCATCACAACACCGCCTGTCTTGGGATTCATCCAAACAAAGTCACCATGGTACCAAATATGAGGATAGACATCGAAATAAGCACTCTTGTATTTCTGTCTTTCAGGTCCATCGCCATACATTTCAACCGGCATACAGGGGAAAGGTGTGATACAGACTAGATCAGCAGCCTTAGCATAGACTGGCTTTTCAACATCATCCCAAGCTTGAATGTTCATGCCAAGACACACACACTGAATCTCACCACGATAGACAGGAAGCGCAGCATTATGACCAGCAAAAAGAGAACAAATGTCAGTACCACCTGTGATGCTGCCCAACATGATATCTTTCTTGATATATTGATAGACAAAATCAAAGCTCTCAGGCTTCAGTGGTGATCCAGTCGAATACACAGCCTTCAATGTATCAAGCTTGCATTCTTTGATAGGATGGACACCAGCTTCTTGTAAAGATTGGATGTATTTAGCAGAAGTACCGAAATGAGTGACACCTAATGCATCGGATAGTTCCCATAAGGAGATAGGAGCAGGCTTGAATGGGCTACCATCCCAGAGAACAATGGTGGCACCTACACTGAGTGCTGAAGTAAGCCAGTTCCACATCATCCAACCAGTAGTCGTGTAGTAGAAAAAGACATCTTCAGGGCCCATATTGCCGTGAATCATATGTTCTTTCTTGAGTTGAAGTAAAAGACCAGCACCTGAATGAACAATACATTTGGGCAGACCTGTTGTACCAGAACTGAACAAAATAAAAGCGGGGTGGTTGAATGGTACTTGTTCAAATCGGATTTCAGAAGGTAATTGATCTACAGGAACACTGTTTGAAAAGTCAGACCAAGACACAAGGTTAGGAATATCATAGTGTTCCAATTCACCCACAAAAGGAATAAGGACAACCTTTTGAAGACATGGAAGACCTACAAGAGAGAGAGAGAGAAAAAAAAAGTGTTTATCTTATGGCCATGCTCCTCTTCTCTTACCTTTGACTACAGTAGCTAATTTGGGGATATGGTCTAATGTCTTGCCATTATAAATGACTTTGTTGACAGAGATCAAGACTTTGGGTTGAATTTGACTAAATCGATCAAGCACACCCTAAAAGAAGAAAAAAAATAAGTATAATTTTCCCACGATTCGATCTCTTACAGTGGTGCCAAAATCAGGGGAAGTAGAACTAAGTAATGAATTACAGTCAGTAAGCCCCTCCCCTCTAGTGTTTATTTATTTACCTCCAAAGTGCGCCAATACTTGTTGTGGCCAACATGGCAATCACAGCTTCTACACAATTGGGAATATAAGCAGCTACACGATCTCCTTTTTGAACACCCAATGATTTGAGTGCCTCTGCAAATTTCAAGACATCTTGATAAAGTTGTCCATAACTAATGGTATGCTTATCGCGTCCTTCACCTGTATGCCTGCATAAGTCTACATGTGACGTATATCATTCTACTTTACCTGTAGCGATAATAGCAACCTTGCTTGCATCTTTACACCATAACAAGTTCTCAGCAAAATTAAGACGAGATTCCTTAAACCATACAGGAATACTGTCCATCTTTTCAGACTTGTCAATTACATGCTCCCCTTTATTGGAGGAAATAATGTTTGTGTAGTCCCATACTTCGGACCAGAACAACTCAGGATAATTCACAGACCATTGCCAGAGTGCTTGATAGTCATCTAAATGGGGATGAATAGATGTGCATTGTTAATTGGCATTACCTAATGTTGTATCTTTGTATTTAGATTGCATAAGAAGGCGAAACTTCTCCATATGCGTGTCTTGAACATTGGAAGGTGTCCAAAGACGTTCAGGTTCAGTAGTTAACGCGCTTTCAGGAACTAAGGTAGGAGCAGTCATGATAATGAAGACAGGAAGAAGAAGAAAAAAAGAAAAAGGAAATTTAACTTTCATATTATTTCAAGAGCGTGGGATTATTTGTGGCATAAATGATACGGCCAACAGGTGTTACTGTGTACACTTTCCGCCTGGGAAATCATAGACTGGAAGCGACTTTTGTGGATTACTTCTCGGAGTACCGGACATAAACACACATCCGGAAATGTTCTGATCTTACTTGGCCATGGAATACTGCATATGTTTGTTTTATTTTACATAGACTTGGTTACTTACTTAACAACTGCCACATTTAGTTATATATGAGTGACACAGTGTATTACTTCACCTTAGAATGAAATACAGTGTCAAAATGTTGACCAACAAGAGTTGTCCTCAAAAAAGGAAAGTCGAAACAGGCATGCTCAAAAGAGACTCAAGGAGAAACATATACTTAATATGATTTATTTTCATCAAACTCCTTAAGCTAGAGTTTGTAGATATTGAATTACAAAATAATTTTCATTTCTCTTATGCATGGAGATCGTGATGAAAGAAGCTGGCTAGCATGGACAAAGCCTGAATGTACGAACCTTTTTAAAGATCAATATAAACGTCTCTTCTATCATGCCCCTCATCAGAACTCAAATCCTAAAGGCTACTAATAGCATAGCAAATGATTGCTTTTTCAGGTTCAATCCACTGTACAAGTAACAGTCAAGATGACTACACACACATACTCAATCTTCTTCTGTGTCTTTTGAAGGGATTTTATCTTTACATTACTATTGTTGTTGTTGTTGCATGAGTTTGACTGAGCAATACCTAACCAAAAGGTGATTGTTCTTTATATACAATATCTGAAGCACAATAGTCAGGGGATTCAAAGATCCGATTGATGCCTTGTGCCTCAACCTTGATCTAGTTCTCGATAGATGCATGTCTATGAAGGATTAGTGCAGACATGTCTTATTAAGAGAAGGGAATAGATGACCATTGCCAAACAAAAGCGTCATACTTTTCTAAGCCCCTGTCTAGGGTATATCCGTCATCGAGTAGTCACACTGGCAGTCCCTTGTGGTGCCTAGCTTGCCCTTTATTTTTTTTTCCGGGAACAAGAGGGCAGGAGCCATTTATAACCTACATTAATATTGGACAAGACAGCCCTTCCCCACACGTACTAATGCGAAAGTCTACGACTCATTTCAGAGATGTGTCTAGACTTCTAAGTACAACTGTAGATAATGGGAAAAATTCTGTGATACCAACCAGTTGTAAACGAAAAACATCACTATGGGAAGCTTTTCCTCAACAAAACTTATGTTCAACACCCTTCATACCCCACTTTAAACGATCGCTTTTGAACTCAAGACACATGTCTTCCACTTCTTCAGCAGTGCTGGTGGACAAATCACTCTCCATGCCCTCATTATCGCACACAACCCATCGCTTACCAGGATCGTTGTTTAATATGGTCGATCGACTCAGTCTGACAGATCTAGATTACGCCATTCAGTCGCGCAATGCAGATAAAGCTTGGGCTATATTTGTTACCCTTACTTTACGAAAAGACGAATTCATACCCTTAACTGTATGCTGCTCTTTATACGCGCTCTTGTTGTTTGCTAAACGTATGGTCGGTTTTACCAATAAGGCAACCAAACTTCGACAACGACAAATTAGTCAGTTATTGGATTATGTTCAACAACACAGCACAAAAGAACTGTTTCTATCTTCAGTACAAGAATTGCCCATCTCGAGCCATAAACAACTCGCTCGAGCCATGCGAACTGGGGATTATGTAGATGTCTGGCAAACATTCTATCGGTTTCATAAGGAAAGTAAAAAAGGGGGTATGGATCCACTCAAACTACCGAGAAATACCTGCCTGAAGCTCATGTTGATGGTCATGAAGGACAAGTCTTTAAATAAGAATCAAATCAAGACGCGATTACAGCTTATTGCTTTACATGGTGCAGGGACGTCAGAATACGATAGTCGCTATGTGTCAGCGGCAGACATATATCGATTGGCTTATATTTGTCATGGATACCAGCGAAATAGACAGACAACACATGGACTGATTGATGAATTTGTGCTTGGGTTGACAAAAAAGAAGCAGAGTATTAGGGCAGATGCACTGGATGAACTCATTTGGCGTATGCTTGTTTACGGCGATATCGAAAAGGCACAACAAGTACTGAATACTGTACGAGATAAAGTAGATGTCAATGAAATGGTGTTTATTAACATGATGAATGCCTATCGAAAACAAAAAAAATACCATGAATCTCTAAGGTTATTTGAACAACTCTTAGAAGCAGGAAAGCAGCCCACGGTCAAAGCATTCAATGCCGTCTTGCAGATATTCACAGCACAAGGATCAGTAGACCGTGCGTCCTATATCTTTGAGTCTATGCTACAGTTGAATGTGGAGCCAGATGCAGCAACGTACACTGAAATGATCAGAATAAACGCAAATGCAGGACACATGAAGCATTGTGTACACTACTATACTAAAATGCTTCAAAGCAACATTCCGCCTAATGTCTACACTTATAGCACATTGATAGAAGGAGCATGTCGAAAAAATGATACAAGACTTATCCTTCGATGGCTCCATGCCATGTCAGCACAGGACATTCAGCCGAATGAAGTGATCATGTCCAGTGTTCTAAAGTCATTTGCAAAACAACATATGCCAGAAGTTGTGTTTGAAGTGGCTCAACAGGCTGCCATGACAGGGATCAAAACGGATGCAGTTCTCTATACCATCCTGCTGAAAATGCAGGCAGAATCGACAGGCATTGAAGGCGCCCTCAAGATCCATCAAGATATGCTGGCCGAGTCAGTGGAACCCAATACGTTTACCTACACAACCCTGATTGATATTTGTGGGAAGAATTACATGCCTGAGACTGCAGAAAAGATTTTTGATCTGATGAAAAGAAGCAGGCGACACAAGCCTAATACGGTGACTTATAGTGTATTGATTGATGCATGGCTAAAGGCGCATAGAAGAGAAAAGGCTGAGTCCGTGCTGTATGATTTCTTGAGACAATGCAAATCTGACAAGACTGGTAGATTTTGGCTTGATTCAAGAATACAAGATAGATTAAGGTCAAGATGTTGCTCATGAATATAATATAGAATGTCTGTACATATAATAAAGCTATAGAAGAAGAAGAGAGAAACCATCTTATTTATTACAATTTGGCCTTGTAAATATCTACACCCCAGAAAGGCGAAGGATCAACTAGACGCTTAGGTTGCTTTTGCTTTGCGATATGTTCTAAAGCTTCAAATTCTGCTTTGTCAAGCTGAATTACTTCAAAGTTGGATACAATTCTGGAGGGTGTAACACTCTTTGGAATGACAGAGCAACCACGTTGAATACCCCAAGCCAAAAGTACTTGAGCAAAAGAGGCATGATGCTTTTGAGCAATATCGAGCTTATAAAGATTAAGTGGTTTTGTTTGACAAGTTATATACTTACTACGACTTTTTCTTTCATCAAAGGTGAATTGGTAGCCCCAAGAGGAGAGTAAGCAGTGACTTGAGACATAATTTAATATAGGCATGTATAAGGATAGCTACTTACCATGAACATTGTTCTTTTGACAAAACTCAACAAGTTCAGGTTGAGGCAAATAAGGGTGTAATTCAACCTATCCAAGCGTCATGAGAAAAACAGGATCAATTGAGTATTACCTGATTGACAGCTGGAGGAATCTTGCAGTTTTTCAATAGTCGATCAAGGTTAGGAATATTGAAGTTGCTTACACCAATAGCGCGTGTCTTGCCCAACGCAACAAGTTTTTCCATTGCCTTATCTTAATTAGGCAATCAAGCTTTGTAAGCCGGAATTGTTTGACTTACAGCATATGTGTCTACAAAATCAATGGATAAATCGACAGCAATTTTTCCTTGTTCATTCTTGGGCATGTTATGTTCAGAAGGCTTAAACGCAATTGGCCTATAAATCATCAATACATATCAAATTGTAGGCCATGTCTTTACCAATGCATCAAATACAAGTCCAAGTAATCCAGTTGAAGATTGGCAAGAGAGACTTCAATGGCCTTTTGAACAAGGTCAGGGCGATGACTTGTGTTCCAGCTATTCATAAAAACAATTAGATTTACTTATAACATAAAATAATAGTACAGCTTAGTTGTAATAAACAGTTGATCGCGAGGAATGCCACTGTCTTTAATTGCCTGTCCAACTTCTTTTTCATTTCGATCTTATATAAAAAATCAACACAAAAAAGTAACAATGCTTTCCACTACTTACAGACAAAGGCAGTATCGATATGTCGATAGCTATTGATGTCGAGAAAAATGTATCAATTGCAGTTATCAAGAAAGTGACTTACCCAGCCTTCAATGCAGTTAAAACAGCAGTGTAAACTTCTTTTGGCTTTGATTGCCATGTTCCAAGTCCAATGGCAGGTAAGCTTGCGCCGGTGTTTCTACAGATTTTTAGGAATGCTCACTCTATCTAAAGACCTTACAATTTAAAGGTTGTTGTAGGCATCTTTTTTTTTTTTTTTTTTTTAGTAAGAAAAAGAAAACTAATTCTTTTTTAATTTCCCCATTGCTTAATAAGCTCAAACTTTAATTGAGCAGTAATCTCCCAAGAAACGGGATTATCCGGGGGTATTAATGACTTTTTTGTATTTCTTTTGCAGAAATTTCTATTGACTCTTTGTGCATTATATGACAAAGCCAATTCACTAGAAGTTATGCCAAGTTGCGAATGATTATAGGCTCTTTCAACCCTTGTTTATCGATGGCAGTCTGCCCTAAAAAGTTTATATATAATTAGAAGATGATACGAGATTGTGTTGGACCACATAATGTAAAAGCATAATGAGTTTTTAGTATACGAATTTCTGCTTTATTGAAATAATATTTTAGCTTAAATAAATGATTGACTTTACCTTAACTGTTTTCAAGTCATGGTGTTCTTCTCGATTTTGATAGTATTTTCAAGTAGATGTAAAAATAGAAGTTTCTCACATCGTATATGAAGATTGACAAGTGACTTTTTTGGCAAAGTCTTTTCGTAATCTTCCGCTGCTATAGAAGAGACTACCGTCTCTTCTACTTGGTAATATCTGTCTAGATCAGTTGTTGATAATCTGACATAAATGCATTTACGCTTCCTTGAGAATCGGAGTTCAGTGATTGAGAGCAACTTGAATGCTGTATAAGGCATGTCAATAAGAATATGATCAGGATCCTCTGGCAATGGATTCAAATTGTGAGGATCAATCACGCGTGATGATTCGAGTGCCAAATGGCTAAGGCAAGGCAGTTGAAGCGAAAATTGGTGTAATACAGATGGCAAATAGCTGCAATTTTGTATTTTCAAGCTCTTTATCAGAGCATCTTGATTCATGCTGCAGTCAATAAGCTTGACTTTATAAAATGTCAGTTTTTTTAGGTTGGGACAGGTGGCTATAATATCATTTATGTAGTGCTTGTGTACGATATCCTTATAATCATCACCACGAGAGACAAAGTTGACTATATGATGTCCTGTGTTTTCGACCTTGAGTCCTTTTATTGCTCCCTTGAACTGTTCAAGAGCTGAATCAAGTGAAATTTGATTTCCCATGTTAGAGATAACGACAAAAAGACCATCTTTGTCTTGACCTGGGCCTTCACAAAGTCTTGCAGTTTTGATAGAAAGTTCTGAAGAGCGGATCTGATTTAAATAGCAATTTTTCAAGTACAAATTGAATCTAATACGCTTGTTTGCTAGCTTGTCAAACATCATTATTGCTAGCTCGAGCATGTTGTCAAACTGCAAGCTATCAATTGAAACTTCGTCCAAACCTTTTACAAGTTCTGTAAAACGCTGCATAGTATCTGTGCTGAGAGCTGGGTGTGGCATATATAGTCTTTCACTACAGATATTAAGACGTCTCAAATTGGGAAACTTGTTCACAACGTATACGAGGGAGTTTTCAGTTGGGCTGTGGCCAATGATAGAAAGGCTTTTTAGAAATATTCTCTTCTTTATGGATAGTGATCGATACATATCAAACCAAGCGTCAAGTCTGCTTTGAGATCCCTTAAAGCTAAGTTCCTTTAACATTGGAACTTTATCTATCAATTCGTCTAAGTCTAGAGGGATAGACTTAAAGCTTTGTATACACAATTTCTCTAGATTTCCAAATGTGCTGATTGTATTGCATAACAATTGGCATGTAGGAAATGAGGTTCCACGGGCAGAAAGTTTAATGTTTTTTATCTTTTCGCGCATAGCTATGATGGCTTGAGAGTAGCTTTCACCTTGATCCATTTCTTTGGTAAATGGCAGAGTACACAAATGCTTCCAGTATCCTTTTTTGATCTTGATCAAAACCCAATCATAAAATGTTTTATCGGTTTGTTTAAAGTCTAACGACTCTAGATTGGGACAAATATCAGGCAAAGATTTTAAAGATACACCTGGAGAAAACATAGAATCAAAGTTTACAAAGGGAAATTGAATGACGCCATCGGTTTTGTAGACAAAAAAACCTGCGTTTTTCACGTACAGTTTCTTGACGAGCTTACCGAGTGGGGTTTTTGCTGCTTGCAAGAATTGTTCTAGTTCGGTAGCGTTGTTTATAGAGATATCTGCATACGCAGCTTTTTGGCAAACACGCGACCAGTTATGACAAATAAGCTGACATTGCATGATATCAGTTGTATTTAGAAAGCTGAGCACTATGACCACCAGTTCTTGAGGTAACGAGCTCCATAGAGGCATATTGAGGTTTGAAAGGAAGAAAAAGCCACCAAGAGATCAAGATTTGTCTAGTTGGTTCAAGTACCGAACACAATCACATTCACGTTGACATTGATTGGCTGATTTTGCAGTTTGACAGAATGTTATGATCCTGAGTCAGTAAGTACCTATTTCTGACATCAAGCTTGACGAATCTACTCTTAAAAATACAGATCGTTTTTTCCAAAAGCAGAAAAAAAATACTTTATTCATTCTATCTTTTAATGAAACATGGCTCATCCTTACTAATAGACTTTGAAACTCTACCACAAATCTAAATCTGGTATTATAATCAGTTGGAATCCGAGCAGTCATGCTAAAGGCAGGCTATCACTAACTCTGATGTATCAATAAGACTGTTGCTTTTAATTGAGGTATTGAATTATGGAATAAAGACTTAGACAGCTGCATGTTTTTGTAAAAATCAATCTGAATGTTGATATGCCATCCTAATTGATACAATCTCATCATTGGTTAAAATAATCTGTTAAGAGAGCTTAAGCATGATTTAATAATAAATATGCATAGAGTTTTGAGCAAATAAATGCTTCACCAATTCATGCAAATTTTATTTTTTCCAGGCATATAAAGGTAGTATAAAACCTGTTTATACATGCACAAATGCGCTGAATGCCTACAGACGATGTCTGATAACATCCATAATATCTTTGGAGTTGATTAAACCAAAAAAAAAAGCCGATTGCAAAAAATGACCAAAACGACCATTCGACCAAAAGGTATTACTCATGAAAAAAGCTCGTTTGACAATTCTTCATCTTCTTTTTGATGATGCAAGACGAAAAACAGATCTACTGACAAACTTAAATACTCGAAATGCGTGTCAGAGGCTTTAGTCATTGACCAATGTGTTTATTTGTTAATTGTCCTATAAGGATGGTATGCTAGGAGCAAAAACCTTGTCAACATTTTTGCCTATTTGTTCAATATTTTAGCAGCAAATTCGTTGTGTTCTTTGTATCAGCAGGCTCAAAAAGCAAAGTTCTACAACTTTTGTCATTACACCAAAGCCAGATAACCGCGTCTTTATGCAGCACTCAGCAAAAGCCCGATCTTGGATGCGGCGGGATGAAGAATTGGAGTTGCCTTCCATTTCGATCTCCACATACTGCCATCTGGTACATCTTTTGTCCCTTTACCCCACATTTACAGTATAGAATGCCTATGTTTCTACTTTTCTATGCTCTCTGGCACTCAAAATAACACGAGATGCTTTAGAGAAGTTGATTGTTCGCAAGCTCTATATGACATCTAGAGTAAAAAACGCTCAAAACACAGCTTAAAAAGGCCAATCTTTGATGAATCATTGCTCGACAACCAGATTATCAAAACATCCCGTCTTTTCATTTAAGCCATGTCCTTTTGAGTTAAGGAACTGAATAGTACCATTGGTCTGGTTGTTAGGTAAAATTTATTTTTTTGACCCATGGGAGATCCACGGAGGTCCGTATTTAAATTGTTTTTATTGATAATATTTATAAATAGTCCTTTTGAGCGCATGACCTAATTTAGCCTTTAAACGCTCGTACTCGATCATCTCATAAGAAGGACTACTTAAACTGAAAAAACTCTTAGAGAATCAAGGGCAAAAAAGGCTTGTAAAAGGAGAGTGTTGGACTAATGTTTTTGTGGGCATATGTTTGTAACCATAGAAGGAAGGGCGATAATTGATTGGTTGGAGTCATGATCAGCGGCTCTATGTTAGCATATTATATAGTGTCAACTTGTGATAAAAGTGCGTGAATTGAGGTTCATTTGACACTCCAGTAAAGTATTGAGCGGTTGTTCTTAGGAGGTGTTGTAGGCAAGCGATTTAAAAGGCGAGACAAAGGATCGGAAACAGTTGTAGGTTGGTTTAGAATTACATGCATACTGAGGCAGTTGATAGCATGGGAATGCGAAAGGTGTTGACCACAGGAATACGGCTTAGGAGAGCCCCAAGGCAGCCACCCGAGACGCCAGTGTATAAGAGGACTCCGTTCAATGTTGGTCATGGGCAGCCATAGGATAAGGTCAAGGGAAAGGAATGGGCGACAGAGGGAGAGCATTTTTGTTTGTGGTAAGGTAAGCATATGGGTGAAATTTGCTTCCAAGTACTGATGTTGATACGCTCGGGAATCTTTTCGAGGTATTGGTGTGAGGGGTTGAGGGAGATATTTGCAGAAAGGAGTGGGCGAGAGTTTGTGCCAGTGCGAAGCGGTAAGGTCTTGCAGTCGAGGCAGTAATCGGGTAAGAAGAGTGTCTTCTTGCAGAGAGAGAGAACACGCAGTACAAATTTTACTTGAAGAATTTCACTTCGTTCACGCATTGTGGGCAGCTTCAATAGATGCCTCATTACCTTTGTTGATGCAGTTTTAGATCCGCCGAAAATGGTCCTCAGACAGTAATCTTGGGCTTGCTCCAATACTTTAGTCTGGGTTTTTGTCAAAAGCATAATTGCCAGTTTATATTCCATTTGTGGGCGAACCGTTTGCCGATAGAGCCGACAGGAGAGCTGCTTAGAGAAGCCATGGTTGTTGGCACCGATTGAAGCAAGCATAGACGGAGGTTCGTGAACTTCTCTAAAGCATCTCGTGTTATTTTGAGTGCCAGAGAGCATAGAAAAGTAGAAACATAGGCATTCTATACTGTAAATGTGGGGTAAAGGGACAAAAGATGTACCAGATGGCAGTATGTGGAGATCGAAATGGAAGGCAACTCCAATTCTTCATCCCGCCGCATCCAAGATCGGGCTTTTGCTGAGTGCTGCATAAAGACGCGGTTATCTGGCTTTGGTGTAATGACAAAAGTTGTAGAACTTTGCTTTTTGAGCCTGCTGATACAAAGAACACAACGAATTTGCTGCTAAAATATTGAACAAATAGGCAAAAATGTTGACAAGGTTTTTGCTCCTAGCATACCATCCTTATAGGACAATTAACAAATAAACACATTGGTCAATGACTAAAGCCTCTGACACGCATTTCGAGTATTTAAGTTTGTCAGTAGATCTGTTTTTCGTCTTGCATCATCAAAAAGAAGATGAAGAATTGTCAAACGAGCTTTTTTCATGAGTAATACCTTTTGGTCGAATGGTCGTTTTGGTCATTTTTTGCAATCGGCTTTTTTTTTTGGTTTAATCAACTCCAAAGATATTATGGATGTTATCAGACATCGTCTGTAGGCATTCAAATACTTGACTATCCATTATATATTTCTGCTCTTTTTATGTGGCTATACAATATTGTATATCTGTTTGTTCTTTACATGGTTACAATTGTATTATGGGCTCAAAGAGTAAATTGGAAGAATTTACTCTTACTTGAGTTACAAAAGTACAATACTCTTGATATATTTTAACGACATCATTGACAACATCTCTCGAAAAGGACTAATTCATTGTCATATGCAGCCTATGAAAAAAAAATTCTTGTTTTTATTGTCTTTTGTATTTTTTCTTGACTGATGAAGACAAATAAACAATCAAGTACTTTGGACAACTTATATTGGTTTCAATGCAGGGACTAACTGTAAAAGATCACATTTGTGATTTGATCGCTTTGTTTGTCGCTTACAGAAAGCTTTGATTTATTACCCATTCAAATAGCGTAAAGTCTTTTATTAAAACCTATTATAGTAACTGTTGTCATCATACTTAGAAGAAATAATGGCGTTATTGTCTGTTATGTAAGAAGCTTAACTTTTTGATAAAAAAGACCGTGATGGCCTCCATTTGATTCTCCACTTTTCGTGTAACAGCTTCAAGACATTACTTTTTGACAGCATGATGCACAAAGAAGATCATTGTTTTTTTTCTCAAATAGTCATGTATAGACTGGCTATGGTATATGTCATAACACTAAATCCATTGTATGTTCACTGAATAGAGATATTCGGATGTCAAAAGAAACAAGCATTCCTCTCGATTCGTATGAGCAGTCGTAACAAACAGTTTCATATTTTTTGTATTTCTTTTAGAAATAGACAGTTTCTCTTCGCTCTTCTTATTTTCTGTCTCTCTATTAAACAGCCATTTGCTTAAAAAGACGAGTAATATGTTGCTTCTGTCTATTAATGACGTATGAGCGGACTCTTATTTAACGTTGTGCAAGCAAAAAAAAACCGACCAATTCCTCTTGGTTTCTTCTTTCGAGTGTACTTTCTCTCTGGTAATAATATACACGCTTTTGTTGTTCTCTTTCTAAATTATTTTAGATATTAAAAAAAAAAAGAAAGCAAGATGCCTGTAAGATAAAAAGAAGCAACTTGAGAAAGACACGCATATTCACGTCTTTCATTTTCTTAGGCATACCACTCACAATTTAACGACGGCGACTATCAATCTGTTGGCAATATGTATTTATTGCCCATCAAGACCAAGTTTAGAGGCAATGCACCTTATGGTAAAGTGCAGAATCGACAAGAACCCTTACTTAAATTATGTTAGCTGACCCTAACACTGAGGATATTATTGACGAGGCACTCGATTTATTTCGTGCCAACTGTCTCTTTCGTAACTTTGAAATCAAGGGCAATGCAGACCGAGTTCTCATCTACTTGATTTTGTTTATTTCACAATGTCTCGGCTCCTTAAACAAGTTGACACCTCAAGGAGAAGCACTCAAATCCTTGAGTACGCTGGCTGTTTCTAATTTCTCTATTCCTAGTGACCCTTCTTTTCCTTTGAACGCCATGTATCAAGCGCCTACTGACAAATTCCAAGCAGGTAAATAAGCCCTGTATCAATAGAACTAAACTCACATACAATGATAGAACAAATGAAGCAATATATGCAACAACTTCGTCAGGAACTTGTGGTTCGATTGGTGGATAGAATTTACATTGATGGACATCCAAGCAAGTGGTGGATGTGTTTCTCTAAAAGAAAGTTCATGAATCTTAGTCTTTAATTTATAAAGAGGTATATATTATGCTTTGTGCTTCTGCCCACTCATGTCAATACCACGTTTGGCCCAAAACGATTTTCCATATGTGACAAGCTATCTCATGAGTTATTCACTAAATACAAGACATATTTCTTCTTACCAGTTCTTCTCCCTTTTTGATCTTTCTGTTGCCATTCACGAAAATAGCCACTTTGATGTGTTTTGTCTTTTCGTCCATGTAGTTCATAAAGCATACATTGGGTTCTGGCCCACAGCCTCTAAAATCGTTACAGAATCGAGCCTCATTACCACATCGACCTGCATCAATACTGAGATCCGTACCATACTTAAGCACATAATCCGATGTGGCTTCATACCCGTCTTGGTATTCAACCACACCCAAATAATCAATAATTAACTGTTTGGGCTGTAGTGTTTGTGCAGCGAATAAGCCATAAGCGCCACAACAAGGATGATCCTTGTCAGTGATCTTTTTGATCTTGACATTACGCTTTTGATCTTTTGTACCTGGGAAACTACCGATGAGATTGACATGTTGATTCATAAAGTTGATGGTACGGCGTGGATCTTCCACACTGGGGTTTGTAGGTTGAAACAAGTCTTTGATATCAGAGGGGACATTGGGAGACCAAAAAAGTCTATCAATGTATTTTGTCTCGGGTGTCCAACCAGAAGGAGGTGTGGCTGTCTTGATATTCTTTAAATAAGACATGGTAAAAAAAAAAAAAAAAAAAAAAAAAAAAAAAAAAGAGAGCCAGAGAATTTTTTTGATTAAAATGCAGCCATCAACAGCAAAATCATCAGATTTTTCACTTGTTAGAACTGCTAGAAAGAAGAAAAGACATGCTTGTAAAAACAGAGAAACTTTTTCTAAAAAAAAGCATAAAAGACAATAAAAAAAACCTATGTTTTCAAATATCAGAAACTATTACTTTTGAATGATATCAAAAATACTGTTTTCTATAGCTATAGGAATGCTTTTTCAAATATGAAATACAACATTGTTGATTGTACCTTCGTTTGTTGTGATTCATGCTTCAGGATGGCCTATTTTATTTTTTTTTTTTTAGCTTACCGCATCTTTTTTTTTTTTTTTTCGTTTTGTTTTGACAGTCAACTCTATAAAAAGCACCGCAAAAAAAATCTTTTTTGACACTTGTTTCTTGTACATAGTTTATATACCAAATGAGCAAATTAGCAAAGCAACAGAACCAGTCCGATTCCGATCTCTCTTTACAACTCTCAGACGGATCTTCTCTTTCGTCCGATACTGACCTACGCCTCGTCAAAAAAACAAAAAAGAAACACAAAAAAAAACCGAAAAAGAAAAAGAAAAACGAGACTCAATACTGTGTATGTCGAAAAGGATATGATGGAAAAGAATTTATGATTGAATGCGATCAATGCAAAGGTAAGCCTATGATTCCAGCAAGTTCTTATTGACCCTACAACTAGAATGGTTTCATGGTGCTTGTGTGGGTCTCAAGCCAAATTCAGTAACAGACCATTATTTCTGCAAATCATGTACAAAACCTAAACAAAAGAAGACGATGATTGTATTACCAGTCACACCAAAACCATCATTGCCCATAGAAGAGGAAGATGAAGATGAAGATCTATGTGTGTTATGTGATGGAGATTGTACTTGTGGTGCTGTAGAAGAATCATTACCATCCACTCCCCCACTATCAAAAAAGATACAAACTAAAATTAGTAAGCTCGTAATGCATTTGACAGCTGCCTAAATTTTTCTCAAAAAAAATAGTCATCCCAGCACCTCGAAAACCCGGTAAGGCAATACCAAAAAAGTCGAATACATGGACAGTCAAGCATCTTCATACAAGAGACGAAAGCAGTAGTGATTCAGAAAGTGATTTTGAACCCATTATCAAACCCACACCAAGACGTGGTAAAAGTAAAACTCTGTTAACAAACATCATGCATCAAAAATCAGTACAAAAAGAAGAAAATGACGGGGAGGAGGAGGAGGAAGAAGAAGAAGAAGAACTGATTGTAGATGACTTGGATGATTTACTGGATACTATGTCACCTCTTTCTGCTTCTTCTTCTTCGGTGTCTGAAAGTGAAGAATTTTTCACAGATGAAGACGATTTACAGATCAATTCCTCCTTCACTGGCTCAAGTGTTCATTTAGACTCGGGTGATGATGAAGATATTGAAGATGAAGAGACACGAGCTATCATTGACGATATGGACGGAACAGAGGAAGGTAGTGGTATGTTTGTAGAAGAAGACACAGATGGAGAAGAGGAAGAAGAGGAAGAGATCCATTTACCGTATTACAATCATTGGTCATCTTCTGAAGAGGACGAGGAACAAGAATTTGACTATACAAACATGCGTACAAGTGAAGAGGAGACACTACTGGATAGTGAAGGCAATTTGTACGACACGATTGCAGCTGCATTTATGCAGGTCATGGCATCTCAGCCAGATCCTAATACAACAACAACAGGTACCAATACGCCTGTAATGGGTGTAGAATACCACCCCTTATCAGCCTTTGAACTTACTCATGCACTTAATACTGCGTTACATCATGACGGCATTTCACGAAGGCCTTCTTTACCAAGCAGTACAGTATCTGCTGCACAACGATATCGGGGATCGCAAGATTTTTCAACTTCAGAAGCACTAAGTGCACTTGTCTCTAATGATTTATCATTGGCTGCTTTAGAACCCATCCAAGAAGAACCTTTGATAGAAGAAAAACCAATACAGTCGAGTACACATTATATAGAAGCATTGGCAACCAATATGCTATTAGAACAAACCAAACGAAAAGCAAATACATTACCTGCAGGACAAGAAAAAAAGAAAAAAATGAGGTCTGATGAACCTGCTTCTCCGGCTGCTATTATTGACGAATTAGAAGACATGATCAAGGAGGAAGAACAAGTCTCCATGGATGATTTAGTAGACACCTCTCAACTCTACAATAGATCGCCTTCACCTGATTATGAACAAGATGAACATTATTCTCGAGATCTAAGTCGATGGCAGCGTATCCCCATTGGTGCTTTTCGCTTAATGCGATCCAAAAACAAGCTATGGCTTGAACGATAGTAGTAATAAATTATGTATATATATATATATATATATATATATATCGTTTATTGTTCTGAATTGTTATTATTGGCTGATGTTGCCTGTGTCTTCTTTTCTTGTAATGCTTTTCTCCAACGCTCTTCTCTGTCTGCCTTCATTTTATCTAGAGCACTACGCACTTCTTCTGATGTGGAGGGAGGTCTCTATCATGATGATATCAATACAACATTCTCTTGTGATCTACACTTACATAAGATGTATCAACATCAGGCCAGAATTTAATGCCCTTGACATAAGTATCATAGAAATCAGGTCCACCAAAATAAAGCATCACACCCACAGGAAAAAAGACATAGAAGCCAAACTATACCATCAACAAATCTATTTCTTTATATAATCATGTACCTTCACAACTTCTAAACGTGGCCCACCCATACTGCAAGAAGAAAAAATAAAGAAAAAAAGAAAGTGAAAAAATAATCGTGCGTTTAATATCACAAACCCTTGTTGGGTGTGACGCTGAAAGTCGGACCTTTGTTTACCTGTCAATCTGTTGTTATGATCCTTTCTTAACGACGGTTGCTATGTTTTCATGACAACCGTCCCTGAATGACCAAATAGGCCATGGTGAGGCGAATGGATATTTCTGTAGGATGGATGATTTCTCACTCTTTTTGGTAATTAATGCAACAATTTGATGTATCACAATTCATTGGCACGCGCTTATTCCTTATTTTTAGCTCAAGAAAAAAAAAAGGCAAGACAAAAACGAGTTCATTACAATAAAGCCATGGTAGGAGAGCAAGTGTGTTACCATGACGATTTTTTAATGAATTTTTTACCCTCCCTTTTTTTTATTTCTTTTCCTTTTTCTTTTTGTTTATGAGCATGTAAGTTGTACGTTTTTTGAACTTCTATAACTTTTATTAACACATTTTATAGTATGCCCTTTTTACCTTCTTTCGATCGCAAAGACTATAGACAACTAAAAGAAATACCAGTCACTTCAACACCTATATTCGAAGGTCACCTCTATGTTCGCAACGATAAGAAACAATGGCTTTGGCGACTATTTCGATTTGATGGATCCAGTTTTACTTGTCTCTCAAAACGAAAAGTGAAAGGCAGTACATCCAATCTTTTATTAACATCGCCTAAACGATTGACGGTCATGGACCCTCCAGAACAAGCTAAATACTATCAATTGCCTGAATGGACAGTGGATGTGGCACATATGACATCGATTTCTGTCCTTAAACGAAAAAATTCCAATCAACCTTCTAAATGTTTCTCTATTCGGTCCTTTGATGGTACTTTTATATTAAAAGCACATAAACATAAAGACTTGGAACGATGGCTATTTGTCTTGACAAAAATGTGGAGTTTTAGTCAACAACAACAACAACAACATGTAGTACAAGATGAAGATGATGTCCCATTGGTTCAGATCAAACACCCTGTTCTCTCTCAAGAAAAAGTCCAAATCATTGAAGCCTGGCGTATGTCTCTAGCTGAATTAATGGCCAATGATCCCACCATCAAACCACCACCCATTGAACCTATACCAGATGATGATAACATGAGTGTCTTTACAGACATGACGAGCGTGAGTAATCGACATCGCACCAAAAGACGAGTCTCGACAAAACGATCATTGAAACGAGCCATGCCTCATGCAAGTCAAGAACTGCCATTGCAGACCAAACCACAAAAACTGAAAAAGAAAAGATCAGACGACGTACGCAACTGGATGAACACAAAAAAATCCATGAAAAAACCTCCTGAAATGCTCCATTTCTTTCAAGATGCACTCAGTGTGTATCATGATGCTATGGAATCAAGAAAAGAAGGAGAAGAGCATAAATTAAGATACCATCCATCTGTAGGTTGTAAGAGACTGGTTCAAGTAGGTTCAGATGATAAACGAAGAGCATCTATGCCCTTGTCAGAAATACCTTGTCTATTGGATCCTCAATGGATGTCTCCTCTTCAGTTATTGGCACTTAACCCACCTCGGATCGAACAAGATGAAGAAGAAATCAGTCTGGCTGACTTACAAAAGTCGTTGCGGAATATTCAATTACAAACAAGACGTGCAAGATCTCCATCTGTATCTTCCCTTCAAGATTTACAGCGTCTTTATCCTTCGCCTTTTTATCCTATCAAGGGTTCTGCAATAGACAAACAAAGACCTGCTCTTCATTATCCTATCTAATTTTATGCGAGCAGTAATGACAAACAAGGAATTAGTTGCATCAAACAAATAACAATGGCTGCATAGTCACACAAGTGTTTCATAGCCAGCGCTTTTTTTTCCCTCTCTCCCCTTTTCTCTCTCTCTTTTCTTTTATCTTTTTTTTTTTTTTTTTTTTTTTTTGTATGAGTGTGTTGGGTAAATAGAAACAATAACGCGTGCCATTATCCTAATAAAAACATATACTTATAGTGACCACTACTTTTTCTCAGGGCGCTGTCTTTTACGCAGGAGAAACCCTGAGTTGCACTATATCGTTTACAAACCCTATACACACTTGCACCAAACCAGTCAAGTCGTCTATTTCAGCACCTCATTTTCCTTCTCTTTCACCACAACCAAGGACCTCACAACGCTCTATTACTTCCTTAGCTTCTTCTACGTTTGCTTTCTTGACTCGTACACCTGCTTTTGAGGATGAGCAGCCTATTCCTATCGAACTCGACTCACCTACACCGCGCTCCAGTATGGACACATTGGTTCACCCTCAACCGAGTCCACGTAGCTCGATTGATTCAAATGCTTCATTTCGTACTCAACGTTATTCCAGTCTAAAACGACCCATGTCTGAACACCTGTTGTGTGGATTTGCTCAAGTGGTAGGCAGTTTTATTGCTGATCCAAACCTGATCAATCTCAGCGAATTTGATCCATTAAAGAAACATACCATGTATACACCTCAAGGAGGATTTGGAGGTGGTGGTGGATTGATGATGGCCAAGGCAGATAGTTCCTTAGGCAAGTAATAACAAATATATATATATATCTTATGTGACATTTAGATACACGTACATTACCTGTTTTCTCAACACCACCTTCTATCTTGTTTGTTGACTTGGATTTAGCACCAGGCGAAACCAAGAAATGTGAGTGAAAATAGCGTTATCCACACACACGCATAGATTAAAACGATATAGTTTCTTACAAGATTCAATTGCCTCATGATATTCCACCATCTCACCGAGGCAAAGCCATTCGATTCAATTATTATCTTGTTGTAGGCACACAAAGTACAAAACAACCAGGACAAGTAGTCCAGATTCGATTTCGTGTATTAAATCATGTATCAGAGAATGGATCTCGGCCTATTTATGATCTAATGAACCCTGTAGTGAGGTACAAAGATGAAGCCATGACTGTAGAAGACAGCGATCAAAAGCAAACAAGAAGGACCAAGAAGACAAAGAAAGTATTAGAAGAGAAAAAGGCCTTTTTGGATTATGTGAATGAATTACTTGAGAATACAAATCAAAGGCATGAAATTACAAGAAGAGAAAGTGATGCTTATGAACCTCATCCTGAAGAAGAAGAAGAAATTGTCCATACAAAATCATGCTCACAAATTGTGTCAAGGATTACACATCAAAGTAGAAAAGGTGAGTATTGACAAGATCATCAAGAAATTGACCTTTATTAGCCATGTATGATATCTGTAAAAATAATCAAAGGGTAGCCAAACTACATCTTGTCAAGACAGCACATCGATTGGGTGAACCTGTGATTGGTGTATTGGATTTTAGTGAAGCAGTGCTGTCTACGTATAAAGTAAGTTGATATCTATCTTTGTTTTGGTTTTATCACTTATGTGTTCTAGATTTCTATCTTTTTAGAAAGCAGCGAATCAGTGGAAGACACTATTGCACTCAGATCATCGCAGCATATTCAACGCGTATCAAGAAAGACACATTCTGATTTCCATTCATTTTGCCTTGATCATAAGCGACTTTCTTTTTCATTGCCTATACCAGCTACTGTAGCACCTGAATTTCAAACGACAGGAGGTAAATACAGCATTGACTGATGCCAATCAAACTCACATTTTGCTTAGTGTCGCTTGCCTACTTTTTAAAATTCGAATTTATTACAAGCATAGATAATCAAGTACCTTTTATACCAATAATCACGGATGATAAACATCGTCACCATCAATGCTTACAAGACATTCAAGTGAGTACATTTGATTGTCAGATTCCATTGACTGTCTACGGCTCACCTGGTGGTGTGGACAGAGCCTTGTATGGTCGACCCCATACATTTCGAGTTCAATGAATAATAAAATTGACACTATGCTTTGTTTAGTGTGTCTGATCATGATTGCGTTATTAAACAAATAAATCTGAAAAAAGTCGATCTTTTGCTGTTTCCGAAACACTTGCATGAATTTTGTTTATAATTTGATATGTCTACGCGGTTATTTTTTGCTCTTTTTTCTTTCTCTTTTCATAGTATGATTCGATTTTGTTTTGCTGCAAGAGATTTATTTTTGAATATTCTGTTGATTATTGCAAGTTATTTTGCTTTAATCTTGACCTTTGGACAGACTATCAAAGAGTTTTTTGCTAGTCTTTTCTTACAAAGAAAGCGAGTACCTCGAGTAGTAGCCATTACTGGTTCAAGGTAAACAAAAGAATGAATGAATAATAGCTTATACGTATGTTATAGTTCTGGTATTGGTGAAGAACTCGCTCATGCATTTGCTCAAGATAAAGTATCACTTGTGTTGATTGCCCGGGATGAAGGTAAATGATATGACCCTTATGAAAGATATTACTCATCAAGAAACATTATAGAACGCTTGGATAAAGTAGCCAAAGAATGTAAACAACTGGGTTCGCCTAATGTCAAGGTTGTTCAGTTAGATATCACTGATACACAAGCCATTTCTACTGTTTTATCAGAGAAAATCATTGAATACAATGTAGATTTGTTTATTGCGAATGCAGGTATTGCTTTTATTCCTGAAACACACTTATTGGACCAAGCACAAGATGTCTTCAAATTGAATGCACTTGGTACCATTGCCTGTATTGAAACTGTCTACAAGAGTATGAAACAACGAGGTCGAGGTGGACAGATTGCTGCAGTATCTTCAGGCGGTGTCTTTTTTGCCCCTCCTTACATGTTGGCCTATACTGCCTCAAAAGCAGCTGTGATGAGCTATTGTCGCGATCTCCGCATCTTAGGTCAAGATGACGGCATTCTGATTAATACGATTGCGCCAGGTTATATCGATACGCCCATGACATCTGTTTTGCCTAAGCAAGTAGGATTCTTGCATTTGGATGCTAAAAAACATGGCCGACAAGTTAAACAGGCTCTGGAAGCAGACGTGCCTTTGATCATGTACCCTACTCATCAATACATTGCTCTTGCCTTGGCCTCTTCTTTGCCACCTTCTGTTAAGCTCTTCCTTGCTCGTATCACCCATTTTGTTGCTGATCATGTCTTTCGTGATCGATACAAGGTTGATAAATAATAATAATAATAAAACGGCTTTTATTTACAAGAAAGGGAACCAGCCCATCTTAAGTCAAGGGTGTATTGTTACCACTGGTCTGTCTTTTACCCTTGAGCATGTTTTTTAATGCACGTAAAGCAAACACAGTCAGACCAATACCCGCCCAATCTTCATCATGTAAATCCCTCAAATCACCTACAGTCATGATATCTTGATTCTTGAGTTTATTTGCCCATTCATACGCCTTTTCAACATTGCGATGACTAGCAACAGCACAATCCTTCACAAACAATTCAATGTCTGTATTATCTGCATATTCTAGTAGAATAATAGTCAACAATATGTTTATCTGTAGGCTCCTTTTTTTTTTTTTTTTTTTTTTTACCTTCTAGTATACGAGATACAAGGGCTTCTTTATCTTCTGCTAAACGCTTTGTATCAATCTTAAGGTCATGATCAAACCGAGGATTCTTCTTTTTCAACACTTCTAACTGTTCTGTTGTCATTTGTTGTGTTTCCTTCATTTCAACTAGGCTTTGAATAGCACTTTGATATCGAAGTTCAGCTGTCACAGCACGACTTTCATATCCCTCACATTTTGACTCCATTTCCAATACATGTTCTGCTGCTTTCTCTAGTTCTTGTCGTGTCTTTTCGAGTTCAGTCCGGATATCACTCTCTCTTCTCCAGATAGATTCTTTTGTTTGATCCTCTTTATCTGCTTCTTCATTACTAGTAATCGTGGGTTTCTCCATATCTCGAAGAATACGGTTGATTTCTTTGGTAATATGATGCTGGTATCGTTCAGGAAGTACTTGTTCTTCAATCTGTGTAATATGGATCAACAAACTATATGTTGTATCATGTGTGACTTACCATTTCACGAACCACTTGTTCAGCTGTGTCTGTCTCTACATTGAAATCAAACTTGACAGACAACTTATCCATTCCTTTAAAAATGACCTGAAGTGTCAAATGAACATGAGCTGGATCTGCTGCTAACAAGACAACATCAGGCTCAACAGCAAGAAAGGTATGCTCCAATATATCTTGAGCTGACATGCGTTGATCTTCATTATCCAGACAATTTTCAATGATACTCTTTACTTCATCATTCTGTATCTGAAGTAAACTAGCAGGACGTACGCCCTATAATGACTGTAAGCCCAACAATACACTTTTTTTTTTCTTTTTTGGTATACTTGCAGAAGACACTTTTTTATAGATTTGAGCTGCATTTTTACATTCACCATAAGGATAATCGCCCGTCACCATTTCCAACAGACACATACCAAATGCATAAATATCGACTTTTTCATTATAACCCTCTTCTTCATACATTTCAGGCGCCATAAATTCAGGTGTACCAATGATGGTGTATTTCTTACCCATCTTCATTTCTGCTGTACCCATATCACCAATTTTGACTTCACCGTGTGCACCATTAATAAAGATATTATCACACTTGATATCTCGATGAATAATAGGTGGATTATAGCCATGCAAATAAGCGAGGCCCTTCAGGATCTGACGCGACCATCGCTTGACAATCTTAATATTCGGTAAATTCAGCTTACGAATGTACTCTCGAAGTGTGCCTGAAGTCATTAGTTCGGTGATAAACACAAATTCGTTCTTGTGATGCCATGCGTCATGAAAAGCAATGATGTTGGGGTGACGGACTGATTTAAGAATGCCTATTTCATGTTCCATTTCTTTGTGGTCAATCGATTTAGTTGCTTGCATCGTGTTCCAAGCAACTTCATAGCCTTCTTCGCGATCAATGGCTTTATAGACAGCCTTGTAAGCGCCTTTACCCAAGAGTGTGTTGAGGCGAACATAACGTTCATTGGGAGATACTTCAAGTACTTTCTCAGCATCGTGTGAGCGAGATTGATCAATAATGTCGTTTGTAAGTCTGGATTTAGGTTTGTCCAGTGGTGGTTCATCATCAAAGTTGACAAGGTCATCCTGAATGCTAACAGAATGAGTACCTGACATGGTGATATGTTTCAACAGTAACAAAGAGGGAGAAAGAGAGGGGTGGGTAGTGGTAGTAATGAAGAGAAATAGATAAAAAAAAAAAAAAAAGTCTGCAGTATCTCGGGACTATTTTATAAAGGCCGCACCTTCTATTCCGGCTGCTTTCATGAACCAATGAAATAGATGGATGGATGAAGCTTCTGAGTTTCATAACAGCCAATCATATTTGATTTAAACTCAGGTACGCATAATATCTTTTTTTTATTACTATTATTATTATTATTACTTCATTAGAATGGTGTTAAACAATTCATTCTTATATTCATCATGTAGTAGTACCTATAATAATCACAAGCAAACGATGGGATTCATGGATAGTGTATCATGGAGATATATAAACTAATTTTATTGGAGGATACATTTACTTGACTGTCTTTTCTTCTCTTTTTTTTTTGCTTGCCCTTTCACTCTAAAGCGATATGGATTCCAGTACAGAAACCAGTTCTGAACAAGGCACACACGAAGCTCTTAAAGAGAGAATTATTGCCACCAATAAACTATTTAAATACTTGGCCACAGCACGTGATGGTAAGGATCATAATGCTACATTCTATACTGATCAAGATAGAAATCACGGTCAAGAATCAAGAGATCGAATTCAAGACACAAGAGATCAACAAGTTAAGAGAGACACTCAACAATTCACTCCGTGTTGTCAAGCTACGTGATCAAAAACAGGCAGAACTCACTCAAGAAAGTGAACGTCTCAAGTTGACCATCAAGGAACTTGAACATCGACTACAAGTACAAGAAAACTCACCAGAACACCAAAAAAAGCTAGATGAACTCAACAAGAAACTTGCTACTGTACAAGACGAAAAGGCAGCACAGGAGAGTAAAATCATCAGCAAAGAGGTAACGTTTATTATTTGATTTATAGACTAACATTGTGTCTTAGTCCTATATCAAACAATTAGAAGCTCAATGCCATGAACTAAGGGAAAACCAAAAGAAACAGATAGAAGTCATTCACAAACCAAAACAACCAGCAGAACTCAAAAAGAAACGCGAGGAAATCAACCAACTTCAACAACAATTAACTACCTGTCAAACACAAATGGAGTCCATACAACAACAACTACAAGAGACACAGGAAGAAAAAGACAGATTGGAAAAAGAAAAAGAGCAATTAGAAGAAGAGGTCATGAGCATGAAGATTGATCAAGACTTTTCACATCATTCAAACCAAGAAGAAGTAGATCAGTTGGGTAAACAGGTCAAGGATTTTGAGAGCCATTTTCATCAGTTACGTGGTGAATGTACATTTTACAGGAACGAAAATGCCTTTCTTAAACAGCAATTGATGCAGCTGCACACTCAACTTTCTCAAGCAGCTGGATTAGACACGATACTTTCTAGTCATGAACCACACGTACCAAAGCAGGCAGTGGAAATTGAACGTACTGAAACTGTATCTGTTCCAACAAGTCCTAAAGAAGATAAGACGACACTTCGTTCTTCTTCTGGTCTAGTACCACCGCCTTCTAAAGTATTTCCCTTACCGGTCACACTCAAAAAGAAAAAGAAGACGACCAGTAAACTGACTAAGTTTGTCAATGCAACTAATCCAGGCAGAGTACTTGAAAACAAACCCATTGGTACCAAACGTCCTTCCATCTCTACTACCTATGAACTAAACAACAAGAAGCTAAAGACAACTTCTGAGAATTGCTTGGAACAAGCAAACAGTCTAATAAAACAAGCTAGATTACCTACAGAACAAGAAATTAAGGATATGGGAGTGTCTCTAATGAAAGAAATTGACGATTGCTATGGTCGAATCAAGACAAGTGCTGTGATAGGCAATCATATTGAATTAGTGTCTTTTGGTATACCTGACCAATGTACACTACAACTGCCTAAAGGCATGGATCACCGTGAAAAGATATATGCTTGGTACATGGCTGCCATCTATCGAGTGTCGGTAAGTAAGGCTATTGTTCAAGAATATAGGACTGACATTTGTCTGTAGAGTGAAGAATACAATGCCTTATTGAAAGAGCTTTCAGTCAAGATATCCAGTTGTTTAAAGACAAAAGTACAAAGACATAATTTCTTAAACAACAAACTAATGCAAGTATATATTCTGATGCTTCTTTGTTATTGACGTTGTCTATCTATAGTCGACTATTCAGGCTGGCAACTATTTTGTTTCGACTGCTTGAAGACAAAGAACAACTTTATATTATGCTGTATGATATGTTACAGTCCTCAGCTTATGCATTCAATGTCATTCCCTGTCTCATCAACGTATCTCACATTTGGAAAGAAGCAGGTCTTTTTACAACACACCTTATGCTGTTTGATACTTTCCAAGCAGCTGTTGCTCATGTTGCCAAAAGAACAGGCACACCTGACAATGTAAGCGGAGACATCTTTTATGGGGTTACTCATATACAAATAGATCAAAACGATGTATGATAAGCTAAAAGAATTGTTTGAATGGAATGATTCTACTGGTATTCCAGCGTGTATTGACAAGACATTTAACTATCTCAAAGGACCAGAACTCAAACTACTATATCAACAAGACAAGGACTTGTTTAAACAGACCAGATTCAATATCGTCAAGACCTTTGAATTAGCCTTCTCAGTGCTTGATAATTGGAATGATCTGTTTGATAATTTCATTCGAACAAGGCTATGGTCATTACTGGGTGGTGAAATAACGGGTGATATTTCACTAGAATTGATTGGAGTGCTCGGTCGATTAGGTGTCTCTCAAGATCCTTTAAAACCTGATAAACCTGGTGTAGCTACCCTTTTGAACTGTTTAATACAGGTGATGGATATGAATGGTGAAGAAACAAAAGGTAACAACAGTCTATATATAAAACAAAGAAACTCACTTTATGATCTGTAGAAGACTTGACCATCAAATGCACTGCAGCTAGGTCAATCATGAAGATTGCTGGCAAAGATCCCAAATACCATGAGCATGTACGAAAATTTATGGCTTCTCTTGCTTAATTGTGCTTTTGTATATATAAAAACATATATTTAATTCATTTCCTTTACTTCCTCTTCCTCTTCATCGTCATCAAAGAAAGAAGAGTCCACACGCTGTTGAGTAGGTTTTTGTGTATCCATGTCTTGTAAAATATCATCTCTTTCATCAAATATGTCATCACCACCATCAAACATGACTTCTGCAGGTTGGATAGGAGAAGAAGGGGGTGACTCATGCTGAGTAATGGTAGAAGCAAACGACAAAGGTACAGATCGACTACTGGGTGGTGTTTCAATAGGATTTGTAGGTGTGTTTCTCTGAAAGACACCCATCATATTGGACCAGCCTTCTGTTGTAGCAGGACGCATGAAAGACATCATCAGACTATTACCTCGCTTTAGGCTACTGGATGTCTTTTCTTGAGCTACGATGGGTTTTGCATGACGTCTCTTTTCACTATCCTCATGAAGTTTAAGGGTAGATTTAGAAAAGATGTGTTGATAATGATGGATTAATTCATGCACAAGTCGAAAAGGAACTCGACTATTCAAAATTGAAAATGTGTCCATTCGACTACGAAGAATGACAGGGCCTAATGTTTGACAGATTTGATCTACAATATCTGAAGGAATTGATTCCTTTTGAATGAATCTAACAGTATATTTAGTTTGGATTTCTTTGGCTTTGTAGTACTCACCTTGTGATATAACTGAGAAGGTGTTGAAGTGAAGCGAAATGAGTAGCAGGAAGTGTTGCAATTAAGTTACTAAAGGATGCAAGGCGTAAATCCTCATCTTGCTCTGTATCTAAAAAAAAAAAAAAAAAAAAAAAAAAAAAAAAAAAAAAAAATGAAAAACAGTATCTATAAACTTATACTTACAATTGCCTCCTAAAAGAGCATCAACTGGATCATAAAACTCAAAGGTCAATAAACAATCTGGTAGCTCCATCAAGTAATAACGAAGTACAGCAATCAATAAATCAGGCTCATACTTATTAAATAATTCAAGATGAATGGTATCACTTGGGACATTCAGTTCCAAGCAAGCAGCATGAACACGGTCCAGTGCACAAGGAGTAGACCATACTTGTTGTTTTTTTTCTTGATCCTGAATGTCTTCTATCCCCTTGTCAATGGCTAACAAAAGAGTAGATAGAAATATAGGTATATTGTCTGGTATTTGTTTTCCTAATTCTTCTAGAGGAACACCAAAGACTTGATCTAAAGAAGAAGAAAAAGTAAGCTTTTCTTCTAACAAAGTTTTCTTAGTTGCTTACCATGTGCGATACCATGATAGTAACTTTCATAAAGAATTGCTTTAGGAGAAAATCCAGCAACAGCGTATTGTTGAATGATGTATTGAATATCTTGATCAGGTTTTAGTGATTCGTGAAATACCATCATTTCTTCAATAATCAGTTTATCTTGAGGAATGACGATAGACAAAGTAGCGATAAAAGAAGAAATGATCTTTTTCATTTTTTGAATACGGTGTAATTCGACCTGTTCCATTTCCTTCAAATGAGTAAACATAGCTTCTTCAATGCCCATTCGCATTTGATCTAGCTTGAGTACAGCAGCACGATAACTCTGTTCTGATTTATCAACTTCACGCCTTATTTTTTTAGAAGGATCATCCATGAGTCCATTTGAGTTATCCAGGTTTGGATGAGTAGTGTCTTCATCCCCTCTTACTCCTCCTTCTGCTTGAGAACGCCATTGATAGAAACTAGAAGGAGCAGCAGTGAACTTACTACCTCTCTGTCCAACTAAACGTAAGATATTGTAAGGCTGAATCAGTTGCTGTCCAACTACATCAGCCATAGCAGGCGAGTCTTTGCATTGAGCTAAATTCTGCTGCAGCCAAATAGCAATATCTTCACCTGTAGATGTGTTCTTATAAGTGCCTAAAATAGGCACTTTATAATCGCGTAAAGTGATTTCTTGTCTCATGCGGCGGATTAAACTGTCAAATTCAGGCTGTGGCATTACTTGATTACCAAGCTGAATATTAGGAAGTCCAGTTGTTACACTGCCATTTGCATCGGGCAAAGGAGAGCTTGGCTTCTCCTCTGCTTTTTTATATTCTTCAGTAACAGCCTTGGGTGCTGTGATCTTCAAAGAAGGGTCTTCAGCCTTATCAGCCTCTTTGCATTTTCGATGATAGATGGATCTTGATTTTTCTGTGTCTTTGACAAGTCCATCAAACTGTTTCAGCATACTATCGATGGCCAGCTTTGAGTTACTAATGACGCGCTTGTACTCTTCATGAAAATCTTGTAAGGGAACCAACACTTCCGAAGTCACTGTAGAGGCAGCTGTTCTACGCTGTTCACCCAAGCGTCGACTTGTTTCTTTGAGTTGAGAAAAACATTTAAAAAGACCTGCTCCTTCGTCTCGACCAAAGCCAGCGCTTTTGTAGTTGATCTTTCCTTGATCAGTGAGTTTGTTTGCGTAGATTTCTTCAATAGCAATCCGATCCTTAAAGAAACTGATCATTTCTTCGTTTTCAACTCGGCTTTGTCCCAGCTTCTGATGAAGAACTGAAAAGCCCGTTTGAAAGTCTGGTAGTGTTTGTTCGGGCTGCTTTTGAGACCAGAAGACTGTCTTGAAGTGTTGTGTAGGCGCCATTCGTATCTATGGATATATGTAAGAAAAAAGGGGCATTAATGAGAAAGGAACAAAGACTCCTCTGGGCTTAAAACTAAAATAAAGCTTTACGCTTTTTTTGGCTTAGTTACTGAACTTGTTTACGTGAAGAGGAAAGTTTTCTACAACTACTTGTGCTTTCATCTAGAAGAAATCTTGCCATTGAATCTAACGGTATGCCAAACAAGAAGCGTTAAGTAAAATAAAAAATAAGACGCTTGCTGCATTAATATCAATTCAATTGCTCAATTGATCTTTCATAATAGAGCAGGGCACTCTTAGGTCTAAGGGAAAATAAAACTCTATCAAGAGTGCTTATTCCAAGATATTGTATTAGGATAAGATTGTACTGGTTCATTATTTGGATACATAATTGTGATTTGCTAAAATAGCATCTATTTTGTAGAAGAAAACCATTGTATTGTTCGAGAAACCTGTGTCTAAACAGCTGTACAGCCAGTGCTTTATGATAATTCTGAGACGTATTCCTATATCAATTGGATACATATCGTTTCCGGATATCAATCGATTGTGGGTCTCTTTTGTGATTCATATTTCTATCAAGACCGCTTTTCTTGTCTTCACATGTACCCCAGAGCTTGTCTGGTTTGGAGTTTGTTTTTGGCTTAACATATTCAGTTAAGCATTTCTATCTGCATTTTCCATTTAGCCATTCCCACTCAAAGATCAAATGACCTTTACTTTTGAGGTGGTATATGACATACATACTCTATCCAAATAATTACTACAGAAAATAAACAACTGCCTCCTTAGCATTTATTGATCGAAACTGAAAACAAGATACTTTATTGTTCAAAAAATGTGTGTATACTATTGGCTAGAAACATATTTGTTTGCCACGAATCACGTGATACAAAATCAATTTTGACAACTAGATTTTATTTTATACTCAGTTAAAATGTTGTTTAACCGGAGTATGTGCAGTAACTCTAGTTAAGACTTGGGAGGTCGATAGTACAAAAGACTTTTACTAAACAAGAAGTATTTAAGGAGTGAAAAAGATGTGTTTATTAGAATGGTGCTGTGAGATGAAGAGAGAATAGATATTCAATAAGAGAAAAGGTAAGAACACAGAGAAAGTCCGTTAGAACTTGTATAGGTTTTTATTTCTCCCAGAAAATGTTATCTTTCAATTGCTATAAAATGTCGAGGTATTTATACTTTTTCTTCTCGGTCAAAATATTGTTTTGGGTTAGCTTCTTGACTACGGATTGATTTGTTAGATCAGGAGCAATTAAGAGAAATGCCTTTAGAGGAAGTCGTCAGCTCAGCCAATAGTACATGATCTGACCTGAACTTGAATAAACTATTACACATTTGTCAAATGCCAATGCCAATGTATTTGTCAGCTCTAACTGTCACTTTATGAGGGCCATTAATAATAACAGAGTCACTAGGTTCATAATCTCTGTCTATGAGGATGATGTAGTACTTCTAGTAGAATGAGTGAATGTCAGTGACTATAGATCCATTGCAATTGCCATAGATGTGATCTGGTCTTTTGCCATGATCATCATTTATTGATCTATGCATATGAATTCATATATGTTCACAACAGTAACATTACATTTATTATAAATAAATATCTTATACTTACTGTATCAATACACAGTTCCTTTCTGTGACGTCACGTTATTTCCAGAATATTTCCCAGTGAATCTATTGGCTAAGAAACGTTCTATTGTCTCGTGACTTGACTATAAAAACACAGACCTAACTAAAATATTAAATTGACAGAATGACAAGTTTGAGATTGATGATCAAATTTAAAAAAAAAAAAAGATTGATGATCAAAATTTGTGATTTTCGCAGTGCTTTTGTTACGTCATCATTACTTGGAACTGATTTGATTTGCTGAAGAGCAAAAGGTGCTGATGTCAAGATTCTCTTGGGCACATGAAGCAAGAACGGAAAAATCTCGATACATGCCAAAAAAGGGAAATGAAGTACAAATGCATTGAAAATGGAAATCAACTCTTTATCTATCTTGAACAGACTTATCAACACACTTCACTATCTGCTGTTTTATTTTGTTATCTATCTTCTTTTACTTATGTTTGTGAAAATCGTTTATCAAGTTGCAGCATATGATCAAAATGAGTCAAGAAATTTTCTATCTAAATTGATAAAGAAAAGTATAAATATGACAAACATTGTAAGAAATAAAAGGATTATTATTATTATCATCATCATAAAAAAAAAGGGGATTTTATTTCTATTTTTTTTGGAACATTTGATTATTTCAGTCTGATCAAATACCCACAAAAACATTTTGGTTGAAGAATTCTTTACTGTCTAGATATACTCAAGAATTGGAAGATCTTTTGGTTGAAAAGATAAATTGCTTGGAGTACTATTAGAAGAAGGAATTGAAGATCAAGAAATATTATTAATTGAAATACAAGAAAGAAGAACTTTTGGCTAACGGCTTAATCTTGATAACTTGTAAATTTGGAAATACTTGGTAGTTATCTGGAAGATGTGTAGAAGTCAAGCATTAGTTAACATTAGTGTATTTTAGTTATATTTTATTTATTGTACCTTTGAAGCCATACTTGTTGTAAGAATCATACTTTGTTATTATTTGTTGGATTTGTAAGTGCACTTGAAATGTATGTTATTTTCTGGTCACTTATGAAGTGTGATTAGGCTCCTTTATCCTTTATCCTTTGTCCTTGTTGTATCTCAAGAAGATTGGACAGATAAACAAAAATATCGCAACACAATAAAATACAATTGCTTCACTTTGATTGAAAACTCACCATCATACCTTGACAAGAAAAAGGTGGTTCCATAGTGTAGGCAAAAGATTTTATTTTTATTGAATGACTTGTAAGACTGATCCCTATGGGGCAAATGTCTAGTCATAAGAGCAGTGAGAGTAAGAAAAGCTAACACTGGAACAAAGAATACAAAAAAAACAATCAGAAAGATTGAAAAAAGAGAAAGAGACTCCAACAGGAAGAAATATAAAATAAGGAAAAAAAATAAAAAAGTGACTCAAACTACACCCAGATAGGTGTAGAGAGAGGAGGTTACAGGAGGAGCAACCGGCTTGTGAAAGACAGGGAGCAACCATTCCAGAAGGGTAAGACCAGAGGTGACCTGAGAACAGGGACTGAACTCAGCGTCAGGAAGACAGATCATGTCCATTTCCAGCATGATAGCACAGATGGTTGGCCACCAAGATGACCAGCGCACGAGAGAGGTAGAATGACGTTGGTCATTAGGAGATGGTGGAGAGCCGAGCCGAGGTAGCTGATTCAGCACAAAGTCCAGAGGATTTGGCTGAGCATCAGCAGCAACACCAAGACGAGAGGCAACAGAGAGGCAAGAGAGCAAGTGGCTACGCGAGGCGTGTGGATGACCACAACGACAAGGCACAGGACGAGCAGGGAGCCAACCCATCTTCCAACGAAGTAGACGACTACGCTCCCACACAGTCATCGGAAGCAGGAGGATGGGATCAACACCCAGAGAGGGACGACAAGCACGCAAGAGAACAAGGCCATCAGGTCTAGCCAGAAGACCAGCCAAGTAGGCACGACGATAATGCCTGATGGCAGGCTTGGGATCACCACCAGAGGTAGCAATCCACTGCTGCAAAGAGGCAAAGCGAGGGACAGAAGGAGAGACAGAAGAGTGGCAGACCAGCTTCCAGATGAGATTGTTCTTCAACAACTTGGGCCAACGGAATGGTTCCATAGTGTAATGGTTATCATATCGGTCTTTGAATCCGGTGATCCGAGTTCGATTCTCGGTGGGACCTTCTTTTGAATATTTTTTTTATTAGACGTGTGTTGCTACGGGACAAGGTTGGATTTTCATATCTGTAACGTACAGAAGAGTTTGTACAGTTGCTACTGTGCTACAGGATAAAGGTAGATATCGCAGTAACTTGTAGAAATATAGAACAATAAATATAACAGAGCAATTGGCAGCAAGTTATATGTAATAAGCACCAGGTTTTAAGTCGTCCGACTATGTTATTTGTATAAGTAAGAGAAGATACAAAGTGACAATATAACATGACGTACAATGATTGAAGGTAATGCAAGGTCAAGCGGCCCTATTAAACAAATAATATAGTAATAGTCTCGTTTAAGTAAAAGACAATACATATAAGGAACAGTTGTAAGTCTAGGACAGTTTAAGAATTGGGTTGGATCTCTCTATTTAAGTTGAATTGTTCTAGTATTTATTTATTCTAAAATAGTCATGTTGGTCTTGCAAAAGTGCAATTATAACAATCCAAGTATAATAAATTTATGAGACATTGTAAAAGTGGTACGATATTTTAAGCTATGCAGATTAAAAGTAGAAAAATAAAATGTGAAGATAGTCATTTCGTAACAATGTAGGGAAAAATTAAAACCAAAAAAGATTGCAGACTGTGAGATTCGAACTCACGCCTCTTGCGAGACCGCAACTTGAGTGCGGCGCCTTAGACCAACTCGGCCAAATCTGCTGATGTTTTGTCAAATTGATATTTTCTTAAGGTTTGTGTTCAATAGTACAGGTCAGGTGACGATAGAATATTTTCTAGCCAATGATATTACTGGGAAAATATTCTAGAAGGCAGTGACGTCTGTGTTTTGATAAAGTAAGTCTTAAGATCTTTTATTATTTTTATATTTTTATATTACCTGTGTTTTGATAAAGTAAGTCTTAAGATGAAGAACTTACATCTATCAACAACACAGTATTTATATCTTTTCTATTCATACTAAAATATGTATTCTAAATCAAATAAAGAAGGAAGTAATTATATACTTCGTGTTGATTGATCCTTGCTTCTTGACGAATACGACAACAGCTTGGCTTTCGCTAAAGGCAATTTCCTTATACGAATCAAGTTCAGCTTTGACTTCTTTCTTCTATTGTTGGTTATCTGAGGTTTAAACCTTTTCTTGTTTGGTTTATACATATACGGAAGGTTATATTCAACCTCGATTGGCTGT